ATCCATCCATCCATCCATCCATCCATCCATCCATCCATCCATCCATCCATCCATCCATCCATCCATCCTTTCAGATTAAAGACACAATGTTTGGAGGTCACATCTTTATTGCCGTGAGAGAGCGTCGCAAATACAGAAAGACTAATTAGTGTCTGTTGACGCACTTAATTAATGCACGCAATCGTAATTAACATTAGCAATTATGACACATCCATCCATCCATTAATTAATTCCGTCAATATCCATGAATTAAATCTGTCAATTTAACAAACTGATGTCTATTTGTTTTTTACAATAACAAAAACGATAAAAACKTCTCATTTTTAGCGATCAAAACAAACAACGGAAACATCGCGCGCTCGTTGACGTCAGCTTTATCTGCCTGTCTTCTTATTGATGATAAAAAATAATCAGCGCGCAAGAAATTTGCAAGTTATTTTAAAAACTTTAATTCGTGGATTCGTCAATCCACCCATCTATTCGATATTCCTTCATTCTTGTTTCTGTGAAATTGTTTCCTTTCTCCGTTCATCGCTGATTCTTTATTAATATTTCTTTTCTTTCGATGCCCACCGACGTTGTTTCCTAAGCTTAACTTGCGTTCTCTAAACATCCTGTTGTTTATGTCAGAGTATCTAAAACAGAAAACTATTTTTTTTGTATATTTAATAATACGAGATAATAACGAATAGGTAATTATTATATTTTTTTCTTTTTAATATTTTCTTTTATTATTCTATATTTCTATTTGTTACTTCTGAAGAACCGAGGAAAAGAATTGACACTACACGTTCTCCGGAAATTGCTAGAACAACGCCCACGAAAGGTAATTACTACTAAACTATCAATTCAATTGTAGGCCTATATGATTCATGGGTGAATAGAGTGCTTCTTACCGCTATATGGTTATGGGTGATCATATGTGGGCAGGGTTATTTGTGGTTTCTTCCGGTTTGTCGCTTTTTTATCATGCTAGCTCAAAACTGACTTCTCCTATTTCATTCCGCTCCCTTTCCACCTATGCGACCCTGGTTTGGAGTCCATCCAGGCTCTCTGTCGTATGATAGTAGAGTTGCTTATTGGTTCTCTCCTTTGCTTTGAGGGTTCACCGATTTACTTGGATGAACAGCCGATCTGTTGAAATACCACTGTTAAATCCATTTTATTTTTATTTTTATTATATTCATTTACGCTATCTGCTTTATGCATGGGGTCACTACCAGATTCCCTTAACCACTTTATTTTATCAAAACCACGCACCGAATACGGCTTACAATTTGCCATCGCAAAAAAAAAATAAAAAATAAAAAAGAAAGATTATTGTTGTTGTTGACGTCAAAAAAAGTGTTGTCATGTCGTGGAACAAAATATTCTTAAAAGGCACATAGCTACGTAATGTCATAGAAAACTTTATTAACCAAAACACTTGCTGTCGACAAGTAAGCACCACTTTCTCTTGCCACTATTATCAGACAATATGATAATAAAAATAATGCACACTCGTTGTCTGAAAGACAATATTAATTATTTAAAGATGCATTTTAACTCAACTTTTGAATTGATTCTTTTGTTTTTGCTGTTATTATTTTAGTTACAGAAACGGAGGTTCATACACCAAAGGGCAAGATGAATAATGGTATCTGCATAACAGTTATCGATAAGCACACAAATTATAATGTCTTTTAAACAGCATAGCCTGAATGTGTTGACTCGTATCTCTTTTTTATTTATTTCTATTTATTTAGCTTCGCCATTCAAACCCTCACACATACACACACACGAGAATAATTAAATACATTCATACATAATGGCTGGGAATCCACTACAGCGTGTGCCAATTACAGTGGTCCCTCACATATTAACATTAATTTAAAACGGTTCGTTTGAAACAAAGCTATTTTGTCCTCTTCTTTTTTCTTTTTTTTCTTTTTTTTCTTTTGTCCTTTTTCTCTTGATGATCCTTATTATTGACAGTTAATAGCAGCATGATGGGGCGCTCTGCAATCCTCGGACAGTGTTACATTTTATACAGATGGTTTTCCATGTCCGAGGATCTTCCTGGTCATARACGAGGTGCAGAGCGCGACGATAGTAGTCTAHAAGAGATTTCTTGTAGATGGAAAGAGAAACATTCTTATTTCTTAGATTTTCCGGTAGGGCGTTCCACGTCCTGCATACTCTAATGAAGAAAAAGCGTTGGTACGTGGTCGTTCTGCATCGTTTCTGAGTGAATATCACTGCTCTGTTGTTGCTTGATGCGGCCCTTGTTCTGCCTGTATCCCTTGTTGACGGTAGCACATCATTCTCTATGCTCACCAATCCATTAATCGCTTTAAAAAAGAAGATGATGTCTAGCATTTCATGCCAATAAGAGATTAGCAACAGTTCGGATAGTTCGAGTCTTTCCTTGTATTCTATGTCGCAGCGGACTGGAAGCTAGAGCACGTACTTGGTTGCTCGGCGTTGTATGCGTTCCACTTGTTTGATGAGTCCAGCTGACTGAGGAGACCATACTTGGGTAGCGTACCCCAGATGGGGACGTACGATAGCCAAGTACAACGTGCGGCGAGTTCTTGCGTTCTTAATGTCCCTGGAGGAGCGGTAGACGAAACCTAGGAGCTTGTTGGCTTTGGCGCATTGCTCACTGACCTGTTTGGACCACGTAAGATCACATGAAATGCTAACCCCAAGATCTCTTTCGGTGTAGCAGCTCTCTAAATTATCGCCTTTGATGAAATACGATGACTGTGTAGGGTTCCGCTTACGTGTGATGCGCTGCCACTTGCTCTTTTTGCGGTTGAATTGTTGAAAGTCGGTCTGCAGAGCGGCGGCGTCTGTAATGGAGTCGATCCTTTTATATATCTTGGCATCATCAGCATAACAGACAATGTTTGATGACATGACGATATCTGTCGTTGACAAACAGCAAGAACAACATCGGTCCAAGAATAGACCCTTGCGGCACACCTGATGTCACTGGTAGTTCATTTGAAGTGGATCGAAGGATGGTGACACGCTGTCGTCGGCAAGTTAGATATGAGCGAAACCAGTCGTGTAGCCTGCCAGCGATGTTGAAAAGGTGTAGCTTATGAAGCAAGAGGGCATGGTCAACTTTGTCGAACGCCTTGCTCATGTCGAGGTAGATCACGTCTGTTTGCTTGCCATTGTCCAGTTGTGAGCCGATGTAGTCTAGTACGGTTGTTAATTGGGTAACGCACGACCTGCCAGGTATAAATCCATGTTGGACACAGTTGATAAGGTGGTGTATGTGGTCTTTCAGACCTGCTAACACGCAGCGCTCAAAGATTTTGGAGATGATGGTGAGTAGAGATATTGGTCGATAGTTTTCCACCAGCTCTTTCTTTCCCTTTTTGAACACTGGAACAACGTTAGCCAGTTTCCATTCTTCGGGTATAGTTGAGTATTGTAGTGATTTATTGAACAGACGTGTCAAGGATGGTGCGATCTGTTCAGCGACTTCCTTAACTAGACGCGCTGGTATACCATCTGGCCCACTGGCTTTATTAACATCCAACTGCATCAGGGAAGTGTGAACTGCCTCAGTCGGGATCTCTAACTGTTCAATCACCGGACCTGGAATTGCAGCAGAAGATGACGGGCTGAGGTATGATGAGGAACTCGTGAAGACTGATACGAAGTAAGAATTGAAAAGTTCAGCAATCTGTTGCGGTGTAGAAGCCGAGGAATGATGTGAATCCTGAGAGATGGTTTCTGATGACATTTCTTTAGGAAAGCTCGTTGATTTAGTTGTTAACTTGAAGATAGACCAGAATCTTTTGGGCTGTAACGCCATGGCAGAGTCTAGAGTGCCAAAATACTTGGCGCGACTCTCCCGTATCATATGCTTTGCTTGAGTTCGTAGTCGGCGGAACTTTTCCTTCTGGTCATTCGTTGGTGTCTTTTTCAGCTTCAGACGGGCTGTCTCTTTTTTCCTTAAGATATGTATTATATTTCCAGTGATCCAAGGCGGGCAGGCTTTCTCTATAAGTGTTTTCGTGGGGATGTGATGGGTAACTGCAGATGAGAATGTACTTTTCCATTGGAGCCAATCGTCGTTAACATGTCCATGTTCTTGAATGAGGTTACTCAAATCAGGATTGAAGTGTTCGCCGAAGGCCATCGAAATCTCCTCTGCGGTAGTCAAAGACGGTTCGCTTGCGTCTATTTCGAACTTTAACGGAAGATTTGACGCCAAAAGTGATGGTGCAGTGATCAGTGAATATATCCGCAGTGGCTGGTGAAAGAGTTGACACTAATTGGATCAGATCTGGTACGTTGGTTATTACCAAATCAAGAACATTGTCACCTCTCGTGCGCTTGTCGACGAGCTGAGTCAGGAAATAGTCACCCAGAATTTCACTGAAGCGCAGCTCTTCGAAGCCCTTGGACTTATCAGGAAATCCCCATGCGATATTTGGGTAATTAAAATCGCCACAAATTAGTATGTTCTGATAGTGTTCACATACTTGAGAAAGAAAAGTGTTGAAAGAGTCCAACAATTGGCGTTTGGTGGCCTGTAGCAGCAGCAGACGAGTAACTTGAGATTAGACCAAGTTGTTATTTCGGCCAAGCATATTTCGATGTCAATCGTTAAGTTGACTTTACGGACTGAACTAAACGAACTTGTTTTTATGGCGAGTAAGACTTCTCCACCACGTGAGTCTCTATCTTTCCTAACGATATTATAGTCGGCAGGAAGTACTTCGGAGTTCCCTATGTCCTTGTGTAACCATGTCTCAGTCACCAATGCAATGTCAGCTCCCTCCGAATAAACTAGTTCTTGAAATCTTGAGAGGTTGCATACCAGATGACCATTTACTTCATGTAGGCTTTTCAAGCTACGAGCATTTGACAAGAGACAGTTCAATGTAGATCTCGATAATCTGTGATTGGGTGGTGCCATACTTTGATGATCGAGCTCGCGCTCAAATTATTTTGGCGCGCGCGCCTTCCCCAAACAACGGTGTTTGCTCGAGCTACTTTTAAATAAAAACAACTACAAGGAAACAAACAAAAAACAAAATTTGCTAAGCAAGTCATTCTAACAATCCTGCACATGCTTTGGAGAAGTGGGCATACTATTGATTTACATTCCTTTTCGTGTTTGCCCCTCTTATTTAAATATGATAAATTTAAATAAATCCTTTTTTTTTTCTTTCTTCTTTATTTCAGACCTAAAGGACCCAGTGAACTCTAATGATCATAAAGTACCCATCATAYACATTGCAGTTCCGGTTGCAGTGGTGGTTCTCTTGGTATTGATAATTGCTTTTCTGTACAAAGTAAGTACTAATTGACACTAGTAGACACTGGAAACATGTCCTGGTATAATACAGTAATATATATTGCTTCTTTTCTTCCCGATCAACTTTATACAGGCTAACGTATATATGCTCTGTAACTGTCATTTATTTTTCCACGTGACGTCATCTAAAAAACAATATCGGAACTATTCATCGTATCAAGAAGTTTATAGAATATGTTTTAGAAATCAATGCATGATATTAGGGACATGAGAATTTTCATTCAGATATCTGGTTCGCGAGTTATGAAGATAGATCGAATTTGAGTCATGCAATACCGTTAAGTGCATCTGAATAAAATGAAGATTTAAATAATTTACGCTAATGAACGTTTTTCCTTAGACACATTTGCCTTAGACACATTAACATCAAAAGTGTTGAATATTCTATCATCTTTTTTTAAACCCTTTGAAGTTAGGCTCGCCAAGTCGGTGTACCTCAGTGGAATGCCTCACCAACGATAATACCACTTCACACGTCTTTGACAAAGATGACGTCTTGTTTTCTTGCCCATGGTTATATATATATATATATATATATATTTGTTTGAGAAGAAAAAGTCAAGACAACATTTTTCCCGACAAGCCTGTTTCGTGAATTGCTTCACTCTTCAGGGGATTTAATGATAAGAATATTCGTTACTATCATTTATATAGAAAAAGT